CAAATTTACACTCTATGTCATTGTAGTACAGTTTATAATTACTTTTAAATTTGTTTACATGATGTTGATAATTTATTTGTACGGCTTCGCGAACTGCCATTGCTACGCTGTAGTGGGAGAAAGGGGAAGGAAATAATAGGGCTAATTCCAAACCGAATGGGAAGCCAGTCGAATTGGTTTCATGGAAATATAATTTATATTTTTATGGGCGATGTATTTTGTACATTAATCGTGTATTTCAATAAGCTGTTAGGTTCGTTAATTCGAATTTTAGCTCACACATTACAGTCGGGATTACCAATTTTGTTTATTTGTTCTAAATAAAACAGAAAATTCACAACATACGTACGTAATGTTATTTATTATTATTTTTAGGAGAAAATAAATTTAATGTTTATAACTTTTATGTTTTAACAGACAACGTTGTCACAAAATTAAACGCGTTATCGTGATTAGCTGCCGTAGAGTTAAAGAGTCTCTGCTTGATTCATTAAAAATTGTTCAAATTTTAATCCTTTTCGTTTTTGTTCAAGACTTTAATTTCGTCTCTTCAATTGCATACTTATCCTTTAAATATCTCGTTAAGTTCATTTCATCTTTTATTAAATGTGAAAAGTTACGCTACTAGGGAGGTCTTTATATCCCTTTGTAGTTAACATCCCCTATTGTTAAACGCGGAAACTGGTCTTCAGCATGCGGGCGACCCCACACAGTTTCCGTTTCTTAAGTTCTTTACGCCAACGAACCCAATGAACTACATGCAAGAGGGTCAATAGCTGGTGAGGTGACAACCCTGCTTTAAAAAGATTTTTTTTTCGATAAAGCATAAGAGATAATTGCAAAACTAGGTGTCACTTACCTTATATTATAAAGCCTAGAAAGGTATATCTAGTCTTAACTCTTTATGAAAACGTTTCTCCCCAGTTTAGACACCGCAAATGCAACCTTTTACAATTCAATATTCTTTTTTTCGGACAACAGTTATCACCGGTGTGAATTAAGATCCAAGAATGCCAGTCATGCTTAAGACAGATCTACAAGTCCATCGTAAGACCTGTCTTAATTGTACGGATCTAAATGCATATTTTCAATGGGCGTTTTTCTTACCTTCACCTATAAATAAAATAGTGTACAAACTTGTTTGTCACTATCGCGTAATATCTTGAATAGAACACAAATCAACCAGGCAGTATATATTAGAATGCAAAGATGCGCGTGCGCGAATGCGTTCAATGCAAATTCAATGTCTCAAGGACTATGGCATTGCTTTTTTTTGTAAGTATTCTCAAACAGCCAGACGATTCGTAGACTGACATTTTTGGCAACAGTCTTCCGTTTAACTGTTGTTGCTATTGCCTGGATTACTTAATAACCAATGATTATACTTTTTTTTGTTTTACAGCCGTACATTTTACTTATCTTACTAATATTATAAATGGATGTTAATTTGAAGGTGTCTCGAGAACGGCTGATTGGACCTTATTGAAATTTGGCAAAGATGTAGAACATAGTCTGGAAGACCACATAGGATACTTATTTTTTTTTTAATTATGAACGGACGAAGTCGCAGACGGCAGCTAGTTTACAAGTTCCCGCCATTTGTATTTAAAGCACAAAGCAGTAAACTTCTGAAAACCATACGTTTATGGTTTCAGTGTAGCCATAAAACTGGGTGCATTCTCAGACAAGGAGTCAGCTAGTCTTTGACTATAGAGAAATGGACTAGGTAAAAAGTTGCTGTATTACTAATTAAATTTTGGTGCATTTCGCGAGGTTGGAGTAAAAATAATAATCCCACATAAAGCTTTTTCAAATATGTTGGCAGCCTAAGGTCGTGGACGCTGCGCCTCGCAGTGTCCACCCCCGTGTCCCGAGGGGTGTAGACCCCACTACACCTACCTAAAAATGCATTCTGCGAAGGTCCTCGCGCGAAGTTTATAGCCGCCAAGATAACTGAAAACATCCATATCACGCTTACATTAATGTACATTTAAAACATTTTTATAAATGCATACTGACTCACAAATTTACACCCACAAAACGAGAAAACAAACAAATTTATTTAAGACTTTTCGATTTTATATGTCCGAGAAGAGCGCCTGCGCTTAATAGGTCCTGTCTCTTAAAACTCAAAGTCTAAAGTTAACGTTTTGACGGACAGTTATGATTTACACATGTACTTATTTTTGCATACAAAGCACAGTTGGTAATGTTCAAAACGCGAAGTATCTTATCTTAATGGTACTAAAAGTATAATAAAAACTACTGGTTGGAAAATTCCCTGATGACAGAAAAAATAAAAAGTAAAAAAAAAAACGAAAAAAGATGACGCGCGATCTCTACCAAACAACTCCGGATCCAATGTTGCCGCAGTACTTCTCAAAACCAACCCATCAGCAGTTCCTTTGGTATTACTGCTAATATGAATATATTTTTCGAATAACTGTCGCCCGCGACACCGAGCGGGGTTAAAAGGTACATAATTTTTTTTTTTTGAAATAGCGAAGTGGGCAACGGTCACCCATAGACGTACGCGTTGCCTACCTTTAATCGACGGAGGAGAGGATGCACAAAAAGAAAACATTTCCTCTTCCGGAAAGTCCACATCCACTTCCCATCCTTTCCTTATAAGAAAAAGGGTGGGAAGTGAAAGAGGTCTAAATTAGGCCTCCGGGACGCACACTCATCAGACGAAACGCGGAATTGCTTCCACTTCACGCCTGTTTTCTGTGTGGTAGTGGTATTACACCGGGCGAGCCGGGCCGATTCGTTGGAAAATGTTAAAGCGGGCTCTACCACTGTTAAACAGTTTTTCTACAGTATGTTCTATATGTATGCCAAATCTTATCTAGATCCATTCAGCCGTCCTGGAGATACCATCAAACTAATTTCCATCCATCCAATTAACATTCGCATTTATAATACTAAGATTAGTAAGAAGTAAGATAGAGTCAATCAATTAAGTGATTTATGCTTTTGCAACTTAAAAAGGTACAAAAAAACATCTAAAATATTTATTCAGTATTTTATAAATAATTAACTTATATTGTCTACATTAAAATTAACTCTAAAACGTTTGCAATCCACATTTAGCTCGTTATCAATTAAAGTTATAAATAAATAAATACAATGATACGTTATTTTGTTATTATCATAATTTATACACTCTCTTGACAGCGATATGTTAGTAAATTTAAATCTTGACATACAGACAGACAGGCGATAAAACATTAATTAGTATTAATTAGTATAGACGATTTTCGTACTTAAAATAAATTATTCAAGTTATTTGAAACTATAAAAGTTCAGCAATTTTCCAAATATAATAGTTTAAAGTTGACTAGTTACTTTTTATTTATTTGACAATTTTACATCGGTTGATTATAAACTATGTAGAAATAAAAATTAATTATAAATTATCTGGCCGATTATTAAGTAAAGTTATTTAAAATTTTCTGTCGCCCAAGACTCCGTTCGCGCGAAATTATAAAAACTTAAGTAAGTAGCCTGTCCTCTTGCATATTATGTTCTACATCTATGCTAAATTTCATCCAGATCAGTTGAACATTTCTGGAGATATAAACATTCGCATTTTACAATTTTACTAAGATTTGACGATTACTTTAGTATATCTAGTTGCATATATATGTTGCAAGAGGCATTATGTCTTGCATACTATATGATAAACAGTATATTACTATGTCAAACACGTACAGTCTAGACAATCCCACTGTATGCAAATAAAAACAATTGTAAATTGGTTTTCGGCAATACATTTTGTATTCATTAATTGAACTGCCTATTAAGGGGAAGGGATATTAAATTATTTAATGAACGACGTGTTTTCATCGTCAAAATATCTGTATAAAACATATCATTGGCTTTCATTTTTTCTTAAATAGAATTGAAAGGGTTGAATGTATGTTTTTGTATATGTGTTTTGGTGACGGAAGAGGAAACATTTGGCTGTTTTCTACTAGAATCAGTTACCCTTGTCCGAAAATAATCATTTTTAAAGATTTATGAGTCGCCTTTCATTTTTTTAATTATTTCCCAAAGTACGACTTGGCCTTAACACTCCCAAAATCCGAAGGCCTTATATTTATGATTCAATCGCTTGCCTAATTTCCACGTCTAGACTATTGTAATGTCTAGATAACCTTTTTAAAAGTCTACGCTTTGACGATTGCAATACGTCTGGGACTTGTATGCAAATTTGCATATGCATTGACTTTTTTATGGATTGTTTCGATTGCGTCATTGTCTGTACGTTCTTACTGTAGGCTTCCATAGCGATAACATATAGAAAAAGATATTGTCATCCCTTTCAATCATATTGGGAAAAGAGAGATAAGAATATATTTGTAAATCTGATAAGGCAGTGGAGCTCTACGGTTAGTAGATAAAACAATGTACAGTCGTGGAAATCCGCAGTGTTCAACTTACAGAAAAATTTCCTTCTGTAATTACTAAGCAGTGATTAGCCGTGTACCACTGATAGACCTTTTTTCGTACAGACACATTTAAAAGCTGCATCCTCTTGGTTATTGTGCTGCGTTATCTCAATGTTTATAAAACTTTCAAACGAATGTAGCATTTAAAGTCCAACACCACCAGATTCCCTGATTGTACTTAACATATTGTCTTCGCTCGGTTTCGTTACAGGATAGTAAAATAACAACTGTTTTATTTAATTAATTTATTATTCAAATCAAAATTATCTTAATTCAGTTAAAGACAATAAATAAATTGAAGAACCTTTCAAGATAGAAGAATAAAAAAGACAAAAGACAGCGAAATAATAACTACAGGTCATAAAAGATAATAAAAATCAAACCAAATTTACTTGAATCATTCGACTGAAAACATCGCAGTCAAATGTTAATTTGTTCCACGAGTATTGGTTTTCATCAATTTACAATTATGAATATATATAATTGAGGAAAATCTGATTTTTAAAATAAAAAAAAGATAAATTCTTTTTAACTCTTGAAAGATTCTTTCGCAAACTTTTTAATTTGTACTAAAAACGTCTCACAAGAAAGTGGACCAATAAACAACGTTTAAAATAAAGAAAGAGAAAGGGAAGAAGAAACGAGAGAAACGATCAATGTATACTGCTGTCTCTCTCCCGTTGCAGAAAGTTTCGTATTGCGGGAGCGAGGCAGATGTACTCGCTCGAGGGTCAACTGAATTCGGGAATATGTGCTGAAATAAGAAATAGCCGTTAAGAAAACATCCTTAGTATGCACTTAGTAAGACAAATGTACACTAAAGGTCTCACTTACTGACCAATTAATGTCTCTGAGTGATCTGTTATATCATTAAAATTAATCCTATATCTTATTTCAATCCAAACGATAGACAAACGGTATAATTTTGGTAAATTTCAAAATATTTTCATTTAACACTTTTTCTGATAAAACTACACTTCGTTTTATTACACAATTTTCATAAAATAACTGTTAAAGTGTAAATAATAAATGAGTTTAATAGAAATGAGGTATATTAATTAAAAAATCGAACCTTAAACGCGTCCAGGTCTCTTGACAGATCTTCGTCAGAGTATCCTTTCATTGCTTTAGTAGCGACAGGCCCCATGTAGTTGTTGACGACCGCAAATTCAAAAAGAGATAGAAACACGAAGACAGAACAAGACGACATCCAAACGTCTATAGCTTTGACATACGATACCGGTGGTAGACTTTGTTGTGATTGTGTATTTTGCGTTGCTGGAACAAAATAACAAATCTTACTAATATTATAAATACGAATGTTTAGTTAGATGGATGGATGTTTGTTTGGAGGTATCTTTTTTTTTATTTCATAAGGTGGCAAACGAGCGAGCGGCCACCTGAAATCGCTGAAATAGCGAAGTGTTCGTTGCCCATAGACATACGCAATTGCATATGCGTTGCCTACCTTTAATCGACGGAGGAACGGATCTCGATTAATAGTGGTAGAACCCGCTTTAACATCTTCGCACGAATTGGCCAGGTTCGCCCGGTGAAATACCGGCACCACACAGAAAACAGGCGTGAAGTGGAAGAAATTCCGCGTTTCATCTGATGAGTGTGCGTCCCGGAGGCCTAATTTAGTCCTCTTTCCCTTCCCACCCTTTACTTATAAGGAAAGGATGGGAAGCGGAAGTGGACTTTCCGGATGAGAGGATGCATGGAAAGGGAAAATATTTTCTTTCTGTGCATCCTCTTCTCCGTCGATTAAAGGTAGGCAACACATATGCAATTGCGTATGTGTATGGGCAACGGTCACTTCGCTATTTCAGCGATTTCGGTGGCCGCTCGCTCGTTTGCCGCCTTATGATAAAAAAAAATATATAGAATTACATAAGTTTTATTTTTACTTTGAGGTCTTAACTTGCCTTTCTTAGTAACACAGACCCACTTTATAAAACAGACAAACATTCTGACATGGCCCAAAAGCATAAATAAAGCGAGCTAGCGGCGCTGCGGACGCCCTCTACTCCACGACATAGGACATTTAAACCAAGTTACAACATAGATAATAAAGACCAGAACCTTTTTAGGGTGCCGTACCTCGAAAGAAAAAAAATGAATCACTTTATTGTTCATCCGTCTGTATATAAAGACCTTTTTTCAACTTGTTAAGCTTTTAACTTACCCAAAGTAAGCAACGATGTGACTCCCAAGGTGACTCTCGCGGGTATCGCTTCAGGTTTGATCCAGAAAGAGATCCAAGACATAACCACGATTAGAGCCGAGGGTATATACGTGTGGAATAAATGATAACCCAGACGACGGCGCAGGTTGAATACAACAGCCAGACATGTGAAATTACCTATAAAAATTAAAAGCTTTAAAAATTACATCTATAGACCGTACTTAGAGTCGTCTAATGAACATATAAACGAACCCTTCGTATGGATCTTTCATAATAAATCGAACGAACAATTAGTGCAGTACGTTTAACAAATGGTACAACTAGCGCCATCTATAATTGTAGTGATGAACTATTTGAAATACTCTAAGAAGGTCCGTGCTAGCAAATTGAAACAAATTTCGATAGGTGATTAGATGCCTCTCATTTTCCACCTCATCACCCTTGGATCTATTAATGGTTAGCAATGTAAATCGGCGTCAATGGCTCAGGGGTTTCGCACTTGATTTATATAATAATCTGGAACTCCTCGGTTCGAATCTTCGAAATACTTATATGTACGACGTTCTTACGGTGAAGGAAAACATCGTGATGAAACATGCACATATCTAATAAGAAATTCAAAGATAAGTGTGAAGTCAACTCAAAGTAGGCCAGTATGGTTGATTATGGTCTTGTCACTACTAACTAAGGTCTCGGAAGCCCTAAGTGGGGACGTATAGTGAGTTCATATATAGTAAGTCAAAATGACAATAAAGGTTAATATTAAATTATTTAACCTGTAGAATATTCAATGGTACAATCACTGGTATAGTTGTTAGATATATCGAGTTGAGGTAACTCTATGTCCGGGTTGACGACCAGAGGGTCTGTTAAGTTCCAGATGAACACCAGATCATGGACTGTGTGAGATACTGGAATATAAAACTAATATTATAAATGCAATGGTTTAGATCGATGGATGAATGTTTGTATGAAGGTATCTTTAGAACGGCTGTATAGATCCCGCTGTAATTTGGTATCCATATAGAACAAATAGGAAAGTCTTTGTCTGGAAGAACAAATAGGTTGTTTATTAAGGTTTTATTTTTAATTCTGCGCGGACGGAGTCGCGGGGGACAGCTAGTTATGTATAAACACTTTCAGATATCAAGATCACGCTAATCGCTGCACAAAACACAATTTTAGGTGTAGTGCGATCCGGTGGGGCAGGTAATGTGCAACGCCGATGATTTTAAGCCGCCAAAATAGTTGAAAATAAAATACTAAGTAACAAAATTTAAATTGTGTAACTAAATTTGACTTACAACTTTCTATCATCATAGAACAGCTTTGAGTGTCGTGAGGATACGATTCAAATTTCATCGCGCAGGATAATACAAGGGTTAACCTGAAAATATAAAGATAATGCCAGTGGAAATATATAGTTCATATAAAAAATAAGACTAATCAGAACTCTAGTGGAAAAAGGATTTTACTTAGACATATAAAGAAGAGTTTTATCATGGTACAGCCATAAATAATGGTTGGGTATGCTCATCTCGTGGAAAGTAACTTTCTTAGCATTCTTGAAGAAGCAATCTGGCCTCCAAATGTTGTTAAGCCAGGCTACATCCAAGATACGATACTCCTCGTGCATGTTCTCTGGTAGACGGAGTCGAGGGTCACGCCATGATTGCGCTAGGAATATGTCAGCTACGTACGTCTGGAACAGACATAGAATCAAATTCGCTTATTTTCCATTCTCTTTACGCTACTTAGGTGATACTTTTTGATTTTTGCTCTACTACAACGCACTAGTAATTATTTAGTGCCGCGGCACGGTTCCCATTGAGGCTATTGCAGTCGTTTCTGGACTCTTACTTTAGTTTTTAAACAATTTATGCCGCTGATATCCGAGTCACTTTTCGACTTTACCGTTTATATTATTTAATGTTTTAATAAAGTTTTATTTTTTAATCCTAACCAAAATAATTATAACAAAACAGTTTTATCCTAACAACTCACCATACTTTCCTCGTTGATCGAATCCAGAGATAGAACGGTAACATGAAAGTATACAATAGTCGGCTGACCCAGTAATTTAGGAGCTCTATTCTTGTCGTAGTACTTTGCCTTCACCGGTAGTATATCTCTTAGTGATAGACTGGATTCAGATTTTATTTCCATTTCTTGATATGATGCGTTTGCTCTAGAAAACATAATAAACAAAATATTAGTTTACTGACAACCCTTATTAAATCTTACTATCTTAGTTATATTATAAATGCGAATGTTTAGATGGATGGATGGATGTTTGAAGGTATCTCTAAAACGGCTTCATGAATCTCGCTGACATTTGGCATAGTTGTAGAACATAGTCTGGATGGACACATAAATTAGTCATTGCGTTTTTTTTAATCCGTGCGGCCGGATTTGTGGGCGATAGTTCTTTTATATAGGTAACGCAACATTATAAATAAAGGCTAATTTCCACAACAGCTATCCTGCTTTAGTTTTGTTCAAAACAATTGTTTATTGATTGATTGAGTTTATTAGAAAAATAAAAATAAATAATAAAATCTGATTTGTTATGACGATACGTGGTAGTACCATTCGCGCACAAACCTTACTTCTTACTAATATTATAAATGCGAATGTTTAGATGGACGGATGGATGTTTGTTTGATGGTATCTCCAAAACGGCTGCACGGATCTCGATGAAATTTGGCATACATATAGAACAGAATGTGGAAGAACACAAAGGCTACTTATTTTTTTTTTAATCCGCGTAAACGAAGTCGCGGGCGACAACTAGTTAAATATTTTACTTACAAAAAACTGACAGCTGCTTGTACTCTACTCGCTTCCATGTTATCTTGCAGCATCATGAACATAATTGACAACAAAAATTGTCTCACTGTTACAATCATTGTCACTGTACAATCGCGCACACAAGTTATCTTGATACAATAATATATTTGTTCATTTTATTTATATTATTTTATTTATTTTATGCCATTCTCAGGGAAAACACAAAACTGCAAGTGACAATAGTTCGCCGCGATCTCAACACCTTACATAAATAATCCCCTTAAAGGGTTTATGTATACATGTGTAAATAAATTTAGTTATAGCGATCGATTGTATACGCATTGGTTTTCTACAAATATGTATGTATTTTATTGTTATTTACTTAATATAATTTATTCTAGAGACTCTATTTATTTTAAATAACATACTTTTTATGTACGTCTATATGTTTTGTTACTACGATCCGAGGTTTTAAGGTTATGGTAACGCAATGACCACATTTAGCTAAGTATAAGCTTATTGGAAGTCATCTTTAAGGAAACATCCTATGCCTTTTAGTAAGAAGTGTACAAAATATGTATATATAATTGGCTTTCATACTATTTCTATAAATCTCAAATTATGTAAGTTTTACATCTAAAAAAAATAATCTTTATTATAAGAATGCCATGTTGAACGAGGATATCAATGTATGGCTTCACCTCCCAATAAACCAATAGTGGGGACGGAATCTTATTGCATTTGCAATACAAATGTGCATTCAGGTGTGTGAATAAAGTCCAAGGTTACTATTTAAGGGTTGGTTTTAATTTGGTAATGTTGGCGATAGATGGCGTTAACTTATATTTTTAATGATTTTTCATGCCGATGATACATTTGATCTCTGAACAAATTCATAGTTTGAGTAAATATTTAAGTTATTTAGACATTATTGAATAATTCATAAAATAGTGCCAATATGAAACTATTGAGATTATTTAACTATTAAGAACTCTATACGAATTTAAATATACTGCTAAATTATTTACGCAGGCGTCGATCCATTAATTTAATTTAAATTTATATAGATGAAAATTTAAACTAATGAAAATTACTAACAATTATACTGAAGATCAATATAGCCTTAAAATTCTCTTGTGAAAGGGAAAAGAGTTAGTGATTGTTAATTTTTTCAATTAATGTTTAGTAAAGAAACATTATATTATATTAGAGATTGATGAAATTAATAAATAATTTTCTTTCAATTACTAAGTAAGTATGAACAATAAAGAAGAAATCAAATATATAATACATTACTAAAGTAAATAAAAACATTATTTACTTCAATAATTAAATTAGATATTTTACGTGGTTATATCCACAAATTTAAATAAATACTAGGTTATTTCTGTTATAAATTAAAAAAATAAGATAAATTCAAGATTAAAATAAATGTTAAAATGAAAAGATAACCCAAAAATTTACGTGCAGCTCAGAAACAAAAAAAACGCACTTTTTAGTTTTTAGTGTCGGGTTATACGTCACAAAATATCTTTATATAGATTTTTCAACAAATACTGTGCATATAAAGATAACATTATTGTATAAAAAACACAACACAATATAGAAAGCACTGTACGTCTGTTTACTGTTGTAGTGAAACACTAAATAAATTAGCTCTAATATAAGACAGTGGTTAAACTGACGAGCGGAGCGGATTTTGAATTATGTTAATTTTTAAAGCGGAAAAAGTTTTTTTTTTACTAGAATACAATACATTTATAATTTTTATCACATAAACTAATTTCAGCTATAACTACTAGGTGCTTAAGTCTGGTAATTAATATAAAAAACTAAAAAAAAATATCCAACTTCGTATGTCAAATGGAGTTAGCATTTTTCTAATTTCACAATATCTAAGTAAAGTGCTGGATAACAAATAATTAATGTACACACAGTACTTAAGTCAATTATCCAGGGTTACTTGGACATTGTAAAACATGTCTTTAGTGAGATAAATCTTTACTTAAGGCCTGTATTATAAGTAGCCACTACAATACTCTGAGTACAGCAGAAATTATCTAAATTAATGTTTATTGTTTTAGTTAAGTAAAACCTACACAATGTGAAAAAAAAAAATCAAAAAAATATACCCAAGTTTTTTTAATTTTTTACTTTATACTTTAGTCATGGCATTATTCGTGAACTTTATTTAGTAAATAAAATAGATGTGTAAATACATAATAGGATTATGGCGAGGCCGTGTCAAGTGAGCCGGGACCTTGGACTATTTGATAGTGAAGGATATGTACTCGACTTATATCGATTTGCCAACAATCTTTTATAAATCAAGTAAGTCTTCCTTAATCGTTTCCGCCTGAAAGGTTTTATCGATCTTTAGTTGTTTTTGAGTCGAAGAATTGACTACTTGAGTTTTGAAATTAGATGATTTAATCTTACCCTATTTTTATTTTGAACTAGTAGACACCCACGACTCCGTCGACGCGGAATAAAATTACTATAAAAAGCCTATAATATGCCCATGCATCAACTTACCTGTCCTGAAAGTCCCGTCAAAATCGGTCTAACCATTTCGATGTTTATCCAGAACAAATGGGATCTTTCAGACTTAAAAACAAAAATTTTGAAATCGCTTTTTCATTATCATTCTATACGAGATACGTTTTTTTTCCAATATGACATACATACATTTAAATTTTATTTTTATATACGGTACGGAATTACCGACAGTGGCCGCGTCACTGATATAGGACTTGCTTAGGCTTAGGATTAGGATATGCTTCGGGATTTTCAGCCACGGGCTCAGAACCCTGAAGCATAATTTTTTATGGATACCCTCAATTCCTATACCGTTTTAGAGATAATTATTGCTAAATAAAAAAATATGAGAAAAACGGATATTTTTTTTTTCAAACCTAATTAAATTATAATAAAATGTGGTCAAAATTCAAGAGTGGTAGAACCCGCTTTAACATCTTCGCACGAATTGGCCAGGTTCGCCCGGTGAAATACCACCACCACACAGAAAACAGGCGTGAAGTGGAAGAAATTCCGGGTTTCGTCTGATGAGTGTGGTCCCGGAGGCCCAAACCCCCACCCCCCCCTTAATACAGCATGGCAGTGGGATTGAAAGAGAAAGTACCCCAGGGGGGTACCAAAACCACTGGTTTTGGAGAATACCCCTCCGCGCGATTACGCCTGAACTCTCGCTTGGAGTCTTGGGGTAAGCGCGCGGGCCGCCCTGCGTATTCTGGGGGGGGCACCTTTCCGCTCGCTCGCTTTAAAGGCCGGGGCAAACGAGGCCAGACACTACCACCCCCTTCCACCCACGCTGTGGACTTCTGTAATATCAGGGGGCTCCATTCCAACTTAGAGGCCGTCCACTACCATCTCCGGACGGCCAAGCCGGCCTTGCTTTTCCTTACCGAGACACAGATATCCTCTCCGGCGGACACATCGTACTTATCCTGCCCCGGATACAAACTGGAACACTCCTTTTTGCCCCGGGCTGGGGTATGCGTGTACGTCAGAGAGGATGTCTGCTCTCGTCGCCTCAGCCTTCTTGAAGAACCTATCTCTTTTGTGGCTGCGCGTAGATGGCGATGTCCATCCGCGGGTCTACGCGTGCCTCTATAGGTCCCATAGCGGTAATGCCGAAACAGACCGACTCATGGAGCAAGTCCAAACGGCTACAGATTCCGTTCTGGCACAGATCCCCTCCGCTGAAATCGTGGTACTTGGCGCCAACTTCAACGCCCACCATGCCGATTGGCTTGGCTCTCGTACCACCGACCATGCGGGGAGATCTGTCCACGACTTTGCCTTGTCTTATGATCTGACGCAGCTGGTCGCCGCGCCCACGCGAATCCCTGATGTGGCAGATCATACGCCTTCCCTGTTGGACCTTCTGCTGACCTCTCATCCGGACAGCTACCAGGTTTCTGTCGACGCCCCCTTGGGCTCGTCGGACCACTGCCTGATCCGGACCTCAGTGCCTATCTCGGTTTGCCCACGGCTTAAACCGAATGGCTTTCGCCGAGTGTGGCACTACAGGTCGGCAGACTGGGATGAGATGCGGGCCTTTTTTGCATCCTACCCATGGGAGCGAGTTTGCTTCAGTCTGGATGATCCCGACGCTGTTGCCGACTCTGTCACCGATGTGGTGCTTCAGGGGATGGATCTTTTTATTCCGTCTTCTGTTGTGCCCATCGGGGGTAGTTCTCGGCCCTGGTTTGGTA